TATATATTTTTAAAGAAATTAATTCTGATTTATTTGTTGGTGGTTGGCGGGTGCTCTGGTGTAGTGTGGTTTGCTTCTTCTTTCCTATCAATCATTTATCTATCGTCTTTATCTCCTTTCCTTCTTTTTTATGTTTGTTACTCTCTTGTAACACCTCTGATCTTTGGTTCTTATATGACCTTATTGTGTTGCGAGTGCCGTAAAACTCTTACTAAAACTAAAATGTGTTTGTTTGTTTGTTCCTTTGTTTGTTTGTTTATTTTTTAAATTTATCTATTTGTTTATTTATTGTCACCTTATTTGTTTCAGGCGATGGTGAAAGCTTTCAGAACAGTTTTGAAGACAGTGACTTCAGTGCCGGGGCCATCGCTCTTTCTTTCTACTCAGGATTCTGGGCCTACAGCGGCTGGTGAGTTGGTGGGTGGCGGGTGCTCTGCTGGGGTTTTTGCTCCTTCTTTCCCATCAAACATCTATCGTCCTTATCTCTTCTCCTTCTTTTCTTTGTACGATGCTCTCTTGTCACACCTCTAATCTTCTTCTGCACTATATCCCCAGTTTGAGTTGCAAGTGCTGTGGGCGATTGGTGGGTGCTCTCCTCTGGTGTGGTTTGCTCCTTCTTTCCCATTAAACATCTATGCCCGGTTGTCCTTATCTCTCCTCCTTCTTTTCTTTCTTTTATGCTCCCTCATAACAGCTCTAGTCTTGGGCACTTAAATGATTATATTATGATCAAGGTATGTTGCAAATGCCGTGAAAATTACTAAAACTCAAAACAAAACTAAGCTGCTTTTCCCACAATGTTAAATGACCGTTATTGTGTTCAGTTCATATCTTGGTCTTTTACTTTAAAAAAAAAAAAAAAAGAAAGAAGAGCCTTCATACTCATAAAAGTGGTGATAGATATTTATAGGTGATGTTTATGATTGTTGTTGAACAATCTTGCTCCATGAATAATACAACAGGGGCACCTGCCACACGTATGATAATTGATGGTCCAAGTAATACGGTAAAAATATAGGCACCTTTCACATCATAAATGTGACGCATATGGGGCTGTTTAGCAGTAAAGCAGTAAAACCTTTTTACATCATAGATGTTCCAGATGGTGTCTCTGCCAATGTTAGTGGCATAGAACAATAAGCCTTTTTTGTTATTTTGCAAAATTTTGCTGAGAGTACCGATGGAAAGAATGAGGAAAGGTTTGAGACTAAAGATACTTAAAAACTCAACTTGGCTTTGTTCCTGACAAAGGAATCACAATGCTTTTTTCAGTGTAGCAAAGTTAATGGGCAGGTGAATTGAACCACAGATAGATCTGTTTTGATGCTTCATTGATTATTCAAAGACTTTTGATAAAGTCAGACATTATGAATCATTTAAGGCATGGAAGAGCTAGATAGATGGAAATGATGCAAGAATTAAATTACCTAAGATGGTGCCAGTAAACTTGAAGCGACAGAAATGTGGTTTTTGAGGAAACTTGAGAATTTCATGGAAGGAAAAGAAATCAAAGCTAAAAGAGGCCCAAGTACTATCAAGTGGACAGCTCCCTAATGTGAGAAGTTAGGAAGAGACAAGTGCAGTTTGGGACATTTGAATAGGCATGTCTTGAACATCTTTCTCTCACTGGAAAAATATATATTGCAAAAGAAGCAGAGATAGGCTGAGAACAATTCACCAAAAGATTTTAGACTGATGGGGGACAAGAGAAAAATGGAGAATATGGTAGGGTTTTAAAAAATGTTTTTTTTAGAGCACTGGGGAGAGAAATAAGAGATGAACTAAGGTCACGAATATCTGGTTCAGATCTGGGACTCTGTGATGGTGATGGTGTCTGTACCAAAACAGCTTTGTACGTATGTCAAGGAGGAGCCTTAGCTTAAAAAGCTTAGAAAGTTAAACAAATTGACAGTTTGTTTTTAGGTTTTTTCTTGTGTGTGTGTGTAAAATGGCATTTATTAAATCGTCTCTAAGGATCATAAGTTTAAGAAACACTTGGGACAATGGCCGCTGAGAAATTAAACAAAATTGACTGGTTCAAGCCCTCATCACAGAAGGCTAATGATAATCAGGACATTTGAGAGCGTGAAACTGTCTCCTAGCCATTTTGAATCTGTGGAATTTGCTGCATCGGGGTTTGTTCAACACAAGGCTGTTGGTAGGTGTGGTTGAGGGGGCAGGATGTCCTTGTCTAGCCTGCGTCAGGGAACACAGGGTGCTCAGAACAAATACCTGTCTGCTTCACTTTGTTAATTATGCATGCACAACGCTTTTTTGTGATTAAAAAAAAAAAATTTAAGAAAGGGGATCTGATCAGGTTCCTGAGTGGGGAGAAATTTTTATTGAGTAGCTGGGTCTTTTTTCTGGGATGTTGTGTCCCCCTCAGCCTGTGTTGGCCTTGACAGGCTGGGTTGGAAGCTTACCTTCTGAACAATCGAAATTGTGTCGATGGGGGCATGAAAACACTCGAAATTTTTTTTTTTCCCCGAGGGGGGCAGGGATTATTGGATCTATAATGTGGATTAAGTAAATGGCATGCAGCTTATTCATTTCATTGTTGAAATTGTTGGGAGCACCCCCGCTGCGAGAGTGGAATTATTTTGTTAATGTACAGGCAATTATTTTATCTCATCTAAACACACATACGCGCACGTATACACACCCAATCTGTCATTCTTAAGAAAATATCCCGCCAAAAATGTATGTTTGAAAGTTTGTTCCGAGTCAACAACGACCTTTTCTCATGTCTCTTTCACAGGAGCTACCTGAACTTTTTGACTGAAGAGTTGGTGAATCCAAACAGGTAAGGAAGGAATCATATGGGAGGGGGGGGGGGGGGGGGGGGGGGGGGTGGTAACTTTGATCTGTCTTAATTGTCTGTTTGCTTTTCTGTTTAGTGCCTTCCTTTTTGTCAGTTACTTATGTGTTGTGTGGTGGTGGAGGGGGTGGGGGGTGTTGGAATCGTTGAAATAATGAAATCAAAGAAATTGATATCTTTGCACTCTTTGGTTTATTTTTATCAATGTTCTTAAACTTCTCTTACCTCAAAATTAAAAACAACCTTCCTTCTTTCCTGTCAAAGATCTATCGTCCTTCTCTCCCTTCCTTCTTTGTTGTGTTTTTTGCTCTCTTGTAACACCTCTAATCTTCGGCACTTATATGACCTTACTGTGTTGCAGGTGCCGTAAAACTCTTACAAAAAAAATGTCTTTCCTATCAAACATCTATCATCCTTTTCTCCCTTCCTTCTTTTTTTTGGTGTTTGCTACTCTCTTGTAACACCTCTAATCTTCGACACTTATATGACCTTATTGTGTTCAAGTGTCATAAAGTCTTACTAAAACTAAATCCAACCCAAACTTTCTTCTTTCCCTCTCTCCCTTTAGGAATCTCCCCCTAGCCATCATGATCTCCATGGGTGTTGTGATCGGCGTCTACCTGGTGACCAACATCGCCTACCTGGCTGTGCTCACGCCCGCTCAGATGGTGAAGTCGACTGCCGTCGCTGTGGTAAGACCATCCTTGGGGTTTTTGCAGCTTCTTCTTTCCTAATCCTTACTATTGTCATTTTCCTCTACTTCTTTTGTATGTTTGTCACACTCTTGTGACCCGCTATTTCCGGGATGCCTTGATAGTCGAAGCAGACCTTGTGCTGTTGAAGCTAGAAAGGTGAGCAGAGTAAGTTTGATTCCCTGTAAGGACTTTTCTGTTGACACTCACCCCTTGGCGCTCATATGACCTTATGCAGTTGCGAGCGCCGTAAAACCCTCTACTATTAAATTGAATTTAATCTTTGGCACTTAGGTGACCGTGATATGTTTGAGAGTTTTAACAAGTGCTGTGAAACTTTTGCTTGAACTAAAAACTGACTATCTTATTTATTTCTACATGGTTTCTGTTTTACTGTCTTAGAATCATGCTTGTCTGCTTTTCGTTACCACCCTGTTTGAACGAATTTCTGCTTCCAACTCAAAACGCGGTGTATCTGACGCATGTGGTTAGAGGGTTGGAGGGTGTTATGTGTATGCTCCTCGGATGTGTCTCTCTGCCTGTCTCGCCCTCTACCAGCACTAAATGATGGCTATTGTGCTTATGTTTGAGAAAAGCATCTAATGTGATGCGTTGTGTTATTGTCAGCACTTTATTTTTCTCTTCAAAATGAAATTGTTTCATTTACACTAGTAGTATGCAATTTAAATTCTATGTATATCTACATATTTTTACTGTTCCCGTACAGCCACAAAAATTTGCCCACATGGACAATAAATTGTTATCTTATCTCATCTAAATCTTCCACATTTTATGTGGCCTATTTCCAGGCTTGCCAACTGTCCCTAATTTCCCAGGACTGTCCTGTATTTGGCGGTTGGGGAATTTGAGAGGACATTTTTACTATACTACATCAAAATTCTATCCCGCTGAATGTTATTTTTGTTGGTTGTTGTTTAAATGTCGTAACACTGGGTGTTCATGACAGAATTTCGAAAAGATTGACCAGCTGTGAATTTGTGTTGCAAGTGGTGTAAAACTTGTACTGAAACTATTTTTTTAAAGCCAAAAAAGTGGCAGGTTGGCAGGTGCTCTGGTGTGGCGCCTTTCCTGTCAAACGTCTATCGTTCTTATCTCTCCTCCCTCTTTTTTGTGTTTGTTACTCTCTTGTAACACCTCGGCACTTGCAACAAGTGCCGTAAACACACTTACTAAAACTAAAAACTAAAAGATTTTGAAAAGATTGGCCGCCGTGTATTTGTGTTGCAAGTGCCGTAAAACTTGTACTGAAACTTTTTTTTGTAAAGCGAAATAACCATGACCTTTCTTCTATTCTGTTCCCAGACATTCGCTGAGCAGACAATGGGCGTGATGCAGTGGTTGATGCCCATCCTCATCGCTATCTCTGTGTGTGGGACCATGAACGGCACAGCTCTCTCCATGTCCAGGTGAGGCGTGGTGTGCTGTGGGTGGTTGGCGGGTGCTCTAGTGTGGTGCACACTCCTTTTTTTCCTGTCAAACATCTTATATTCGGCATTTACATAATCTAATTGTGTTACAACTGGTGTAAAACTTCTCCTAACACAAAGTACACACGAACATACTCTTTGTTTATGTTTGCCAGAAAAAACCCAGCCTTGTGGTAACAATTGGCAATGCAGGGCGGATGGGTTGTGTTGTATAGTAGAGTAGAGAGATTGTCTGACAGAGCAGATTGTCTAGCGGAATGGAGCAAGTCCTGTGTGTGATAGCTGTCAGTGATGTTTGGCATACGCCTGCCCTGGGTCAATTGACCTGCCTTGTTCTTGCTGCATCATCCTCACCAAGTTCCCACGCCGTGGTAGGAGGGTGCCACTGGTTTGTCCCACTTCTTTTCTTTCCCTCTGTAGTTTTCTGTCCGTCCATCTGTCTGTTTCCCACCCAGTGCTAAATGACTGCTATCATGTCTGTGTACTTCTCTTTCCTCCAACTCACATTCACATGCTGTGGGCAGGACCCAGAACTGGCTGGGGGGTTTTGTTTTGTTTATTTTTTTCCTAACTGTCACTGCATGGTGATCTGCGCAGCTGTAGTGCTAGTGGAGTTGGAAGTTTTATTTTATTTTTATTTTCTTAATTTAAAAAAAAAAAAAATTG